GGCCGGGAGTAGCCACTTCACTCCAGTCTGGGTGACAGAGTGAGACTCCAACAACAACAACACAAAAGAAAGCCAAAGACTGTGCAAAGGCAAGGTACTAAGGGCTGCTTGGCTAAATACAATTGAAAGTGTCTATGGATAAGTAAGACCCTTCGTTTGGGTGAATGTTTAATGAGCAATGGAAAGACTGCCCTGCTGCTTTGGTTCTCTCCTCAGGCCTCCTGAACACACCTTCCTTTTGGCAGGTACACCTTGACTCTCCCTGGAGACAGACCCTGTGCTCGAGTTGGTCACAGCTGCGCATATTTACCCCCAGTTGGTGATGCCAAGAGAGGGAAGGTCTTCATTGCTGGGGGAGCAAATCCAAACAGAAGCTTCTCAGATGTGCACACCATGGATCTGGGTAAGACCAGTGGCTGTAGAGCATGCCAGCATGTCCTGTGACCAGAGAGCAGGGCTTTGTGCTGCCAGCCACGAACAAAGTATTCTCAAGAACACCAGTTCAGACTAGATAGCAGGGTTTTCCTATTTAAAAAAATAAACAACAGCCGGGCTCGGTGGCTCAGCCTGTAATCCCGCGCCTTTGGGAGGCTGAGGTGAGTGAATTGCCTGAGCCCGTGGGTTCGAGACCCGCCTGGGCAGCGAGACCTCATCTCTACAATAAATCAAAAAATCAGCCGGGTGTGGTAGCGCATTCCTGTAATTCCGGCTACTTGGAAGGCTGAGGCGGAAGGATCGCCGGAGCCCAGCAGGTCGAGGCTGCGGTGACCGGGAGCAGCCGCTGCACTCCAGTCTGGGCGACCGAGTGAGACTCTGACTCAAAAAATAAATAAATAAATAAAAATAAAAAAATAAACAGCACTGACAGGTCCCTAAGGTCTCCACAGACCCCTGGCACACATTCATTTGACCAATACCTCTTTGTTTTAGAGGACAGAACCTGCATGGTACCCTGGCCATCTGCCATTATTTATCAAATATTTCTTTAGGAAACATTTATGACTCCCATCTCTCCTATTTGCATATCCAATTACCAAGTTCTAAATGGCTCTTATCTTCATCAATGTCTGTCAGTTTCTACTACTACTACTGTAGTCCAAGCCACAGTAACCTCTCAATGAGACTGCTACAATTGTTTTCTTGCTGGTCTCCTTACTTCCAAAGTTACCCACTGTACCATGCATTTTCCATACCTAGTCAGAGAATATTGTTTAAAATACAAATCTTCGGCCAGGCGTGGTGACTCACGCCTATAATCCCAGCATTTTGGGAGGCCAAGGTAAGAGGATTTCCTGAGCCCATGGGTTCGAGACCATCCTGGACAACTCGGCGAGTCCTTATCTCTACAATAAATCAAGAAAAATGAGCCAAGCTTGGTGGCGCATTCCTGTAGTTTCAGCTACTTGGAAGGCTGAGGCAGAAGGATCACCCGAGCCCAGGAGGTCAAGGTTGCGGTGGCCCTGAGCGTGCCACTGCTCTCCAGCCTGGGTGACAGAGTGTGACTAAAAAAAAAAAAATACAAATCTTTACAGTGAGAAGCCAATTACTGACTGCTAAGGGGGTGATGTCTCTGTGTGTGAATGGTACTGGCATGTGTACAAGTCTCTCTGCCCTATATCCTGGGTCTCAACCTGGGATGACCGCCAGGCTGAAGGCATGTTTCCTGGGAAGATCTGAACTAGCTGCACCCTACCTCTGCTCTGTCCTTCAGTCTTCTTCCAGGGGTGCCCAAGGGGGACCTGGATACTTGGTGATCTACACTCTGGGACCCTGAATCATGAATTAACTACTAATAAAAACTTACTGGAAAAGTGAAAAATAAAATACAAATCTAGGGCAGGCACAGTGGCTCATGCCTGTATTCCCAGCACTTTGGGAGGCCAAGGCGGGAGGATCAGTTGAGGCCAAGAGTTCAAGACCAGCCCAGACCAGGCTTGGTGGCTCAGCCTATAATCCCAGCACTTTGGGAGACCGAGGCTAGTGGATTGCCTGATCCCACAGGTTTGAGACCAGCCTGGGCAACTTGGCAAGACCTCATCTCTACAATAAATTAAAAATTAGTGAACCCACGAGTTCGAGACCCGCCTGGGCAGGCGAGACCTCATCTCTACAATAAATCAAAAAATCAGCCGGACGTGGTAGCACGCACCTGTAGTTCCGGCTACTCGGAAGGCTGAGGCAGAAGGATCACTGGAGCCCAGCAGGTCG